GAGCCTAATGCTAGGAGTTAGAAGGAGGACATCTTTGGGGACATATGGTACTGGATATTGAACTCAAGACCTTGTACTTGCCCAATAGGTGTTTGTTCAAGCTGGTGAGATGGCTCAGTGGGTCTAAAGCACCTACTTAGAACAAGCTTAGCAAAGCACAGGGACGGTGGTTCAATCCCCCAGCACCACATGCCAGCCAGCCCCCCCCCCTGGTGGACTGAGCTGCTCCCCCCCCCACATAAATAAATAAAAAACAAATAGGCATTTGTGCGACTGAGCTATATCTCTGATCCCCTAAGCAATAGCTTTTTAATTTGAAAAGAAGCTGTGACTAGCTAGGTGTAGTGCAATACCAAACAGAAACGCTGAAACAGCTCCCAGGATTTGGAGGCAGATTTCTTTAACATCAGATGGGCAGTGTCAGGGAATCAGTTGTCAGGCCCTGAAGGCCCAGGGAGGGTCGTTTTTATGGAGTTACAAAGGGGAGGTGCAGAAGTAGAGTGCTCATAGTGACCAGCTATGTATCTCAGAGACCAGCCTTTCTTTTTCTTTCTTTTTTTTTTTTTGGTGCTGGGAATCGAACTTGGGACCTCATACTTGCCAGGCAGGCACTATGCCACTGAGCTACATCCCTGGCTCATGACCAGCCATTTAAAAAAAAAAAACAAAAAACAGAAGCAAGCACAACTTCAATAGGAACCATCACCGGGGAACTGAAGTGTGCTGGCTGGGGATGCAGAGGGGATTTCTGCTATAATAGTAATCCCAGCACCTTGGGAGACTGAGGCAGGAGAATCAAAAGTTCCAGCCCAGCCTGGGCACTTATTTTATTTCATTTATAAAAATGAAATAAAATTCATTTATTCATTTTATTTTGTAGTGGGGGTTTTATTGGTACGTTCTGGATATCCATAATGATAACATTCATCATATACAATTTGTAGCTGTACATGATGTATCTTCCTTATTTTTTTCCCATTCCCTTCCCCTCTCTTCATCACCCCTGTTGGCCTGCTGGCAGGGGCCAGCGGGAGCAAGGGAGATTTTTTGAGAGTGCAGTCCCAAGTGCAAAGAACACGTGATGTGTGTAACACACCATGAACAACAGCAAGTAGCATGGCGCAGAGCAGAGCACAAGAGCCAGAGAAAGAGCCTTTGCGACTTTACTGTGTAGTTCTCGCACAAGTAGTTGTCTTGCATTTGCATTCTTACCTAGTACCACAACCAGCACGTGCATGTTTACCTGTGCTCAGTCATGGTCACAAAATGTATCCCACTGGGCACCTGTGCTAGACAACAGGCTCGTGTCCTCAGATGTCCTTAGAGCCCCCTGAACTTTGAAGCAGTCTGAGTGGTTCCTCACACCATTCCCCTTCTCCTCATTCTCTGCCCTCCTTATATACAAAAGCTTCGCTCCCATTTTTTCTTCTATTCTTTATTTTCTTGTCCCCTCCGCCCTCCAACTGAACATTTCTTCCTATTTCACAATATCTATTATACACTTTGGTCCTTGTTTACACTTTCTGTTTCTCACACTAGAGGAACAATTTGGTATTAGA